CGAGAAAAAAACTTCTAATTTCTACCACAACCTTATAGTCTAAAACCCCATTGAGAGATGAGCGATTAGGAGAGAGTTGAGAGAACCACCATGAGAGAGATATCAAAAATGAGAAAGTGGGGTGTACCCCTTTAGTTCTCTTGAGAGAGAGACAAACTTTGTTAAGAGAGAGAGAGAGAGAAATTCTAAGTGGGGCGTGCCCCTTTGTGGGATATGAGAAAGAGATGGAAATTAAGAGTAAGAGATAAATGGTAGAGATTTTAGATAGAGACAATCCATTTTTATAGGCCTTGAACAAGAATATGGTTTCTTAAGGTTTTCCTTGGCTTATCTCTTCATGTGAGATTGAATGTCAACCATTGATATTGCGTGACTTGTGGGGTGAACGATTTGAGTCATCCATTCCATATATGGCTCATCAACATTATGGAAGGCGCTAGAACATTTATCTCTCATTCCTAAACCATTTTTCCATCAATAGAAATAAAATAAAATAATTCCATTCATAATATAGTGCTTATCAAAATTATGCACAAGCCTTCTCATGCTTTTCAAAAATCCTTAAAAAGATTCCTCAAGACAAAATCTTTCCCAAACACTTCAAAGCTTTCTCCTCAAGCCAAAGCTTGAACTAACACAATGAAACTTTCATTAGGGTAGGGTGTGCCACCCTAGGTGGTACTACATGGGCCCCACCCACATGTATTGGTAGGTCCATTAACATATTGGGCATCCCATGCAATATTAAAATTAATTATATAATTTTAAAAAATCCATAAAATCAAATTTGAATATTTAAATCAATCTAAAATCAAGATCTCTATTTTTATAAATTCAAATTTAATAAATAAAATATCCAGAGATCTAGAAAAATTAAAATAATAATTTTAAAAATCATATATCATTAAAACAAACATAATTAAATTTATTAAATGTGAAAAAGGTCCATATGGTTTACGAATTAAATAAATAAGCGTTGTGGCACTCCACCTTCAACTGTGGACTGCGGTCTACACTTGCTTTATCAAATCGACCTAGAGTTTTTCATGACCCACAGTCCATGCAGTAGCTCATTAGTGGGGCACCAAAGTCTGCCCAATGAGCCAATGGGCCGTAATCCCAGTTTGTGGATTTCAAGTTCTCCCCTAGAGACATACGAAGGTCACGTAAACCTGATGCAACCACAACTCCTATGACGCATAGGGGTATCTCTCGCACATGCATAAGCTTCACCCTAAAAAGTGATTTGCTTTCCCGAAACGGCTATCATTATGCATGTCGTGTGATGACTCGTGGATGAAGCTTTGGCCCCCATCTCTGAAGGTCACCATCACACACAAGGGTCACACAGTCCCTCGACTCACTCATCCGGGCATACTCCGACCTCATCAAGGGATGTCCTATTAGAGCCCTTATCGGATAGTTTTCTATGCCTAGATAACGTATGTTTTTCCCAACCAATTGGTCTAGCTTGTCAAGCTCAGTCCGGTATTAGCAACCATTGCTTGTTCAATATGGTCCAAAAATGACCACACTCTCAATGAGTTCATGTTCCATTATATCATTTTATTTTACAAACACTTATAAGGCCTTTAATGGCCACACTCACCCAACAGTATCGCCAAACCTCCCACTCCTCACTGAACCAGGCTCGATCCATTCTCAAACGACCCCTCCACTCCTCAAATCTCACAACCTCACATACCCATTGTGACTAAATGCACCAGAGCTCATTGATATACCCATCAAAGCCCCAAATTCTTTCAAAAACCTCGGCTTCATTGCCGCCATGGCCTTTGCAGAGCTCCCCCCTTGCCTCCCCATCTCCAAAACAACCTTCAAACTCGATTGGTCGACTAATAATATGCAGTTCTCTTTGTGTCTATATTCGAAAGAGGCGACTACGTGGGATTCATATGAATTAAGAGTACTTTATCTGAGTAAATATTTTGTTGCAAGCTGTTTACATAGATAAATACTTTACCTGTGTGTAAGTATTTACACACTAACCAAACGTACCCTAATGGCTTTTACATTGGCCTTGAAGATTCTTGGATCAGATGGATCAACCCAATTTACAAAGCCCAAGAATTGGCCACTTGAAAGTTGGTAAAAATGGAGGCTTGGGGTACCTTCCAATCCAATTCCACAAATCAATGGAGAAATTCTAGAGAGAGAGAGAGATTTTGGGTGTGTTAGAGAGAGCAAAGCAGAAAGATGGGAAGTGAGTTAGAGGTGGTTAGAGTTAAAGAGAGAGAGAGATTTTGGGTAACAAAGAGAAACTCTAATCACAACAGGAGATTTTGGGTAACAAGGAGAAACTCCAATCACAAAAAGAGATTTTGGGCAAGAGAGAGAAACTCATATGAGTGAGAGAGAGAAAGAGAGAGAGGGTGGGTAGAGAGAGTGAAAGAGGAGAAGCACATTTTAGTACCAAGTTTTTTGAATTTTTGAATGGGGGAGGGGGTAGATAAAAGAAAAAACAATGTTGGGTCTAAGGTGTGATACTAAAATTATTAGGGGGAGGATGTCTACTAAGGTCATTTTGAGGGGTATCTATAATTATCCCAAAATTCAATATCCTTTTTCCTCTCCAAGGTACACAAAGGAAGACACCCCAATTTATTCTGATGAATTGGAAGCTTGCATTTTCTTGTTAAGGCATAGATTGGTAATTGATATTAGTCCCTACGTATATGTAATTTGTAACTTTCTCATTATAACATAACAGGTGTTGACCACATATTGAATAATTTTGGTACTTTTAGTTAGTCTATTTTGTTTGCAACTTATAAATTAATTTAGGCCACTCATATATAACATAACTAGTCAGGCTAGTAAAATTGTTATGGCAAAACTTTAAAAAATAGAAAAACATAATGTGACCAACTTTGGCATGTGGAAGTGGCAGATAGAATATCTCCTCATCCTGGATAGAATTTTATACATACTAAAAGAAGATTCACCATTAGTTAGTGATAAACCTACTGAATAAGAAAAAAAAAACCGTTGGAAAAATTCTTAAAAGATGACCTCATAGCTAAAACATCAATACTAACTTTTATACAAGATCACCTAATTAAAGTATTCGAATATAATGAAACATTTAAAAAAATGCTCAATGTAATAAAGGTCAGATAAGACAACATCTGAAACTCACCTCCAATTGCTATTAGAGCAATATAACTTATTTAAAATGAAGAAAAGTAATAATGTAGTGGAGCACAAAAACAAAATGCAAGTTATGGCTAAGGACTTAGCCATTGATGGGAATGAAGTTCTTGAGTGCATGCAAGTTTCACAATTTTAAATAATCTTCACCTTCATGAAGAAGGGTGATTATAGCACTCAAATTGAACGCAAAAGCTCTCACTTTAAGAGACCTCCCCATGCAACTAGCCTTAAAGCAAGAACACATGAACAAAGATAAAAGTAGTGAGTTCATGCTTGCTTAAGGTCCTCCCACATCTATTCAAACCAAGCCCAAGCATAACAACAAAAAATTCAAAGAAAGTTTAATAAGAGGAACAATATATTCAAAAACAAAAGAAGCAAACCCCACAACCAAGAGACTAAACAAGGATCATCAAAAAGATTTATATGTGGTTAGTCAAGTCACATAAAAAATCACTGCCCACATAATAGAAACCCGTAAAATCCAAAGTATAGTGGAAATGAGAGCAAGATGTGTGAAGTTGTTTGTGTGATATTAGAGTGTTTTCTTACAGACCATGACATCAAAGGACGGTAGCTAGATTGAAGCGCTAATCGTCATATTGCAAGCTCAAAAGCCTTTTCGAGGACTTCAAAGAAATAAAAGTTGGGGAGAAACGCATCTACATGCAGACAACATCTATTCTATTTATTCTGGTTATGTTAATTGTGCAATGGTTGTTGATGCATACACTTGTCATTTTAGGCTTGGCCACATAAGAAATGACAAAATAAATAGGTTAATAAAGAAATGTCTCATACCAAATCTAACTAATGTGGAATTTTCAACCTGTCAGCATTGTTTGTTGGGAAAAATCACGAAGAAACCATTCAATAAAGGGGAGAGAGCTAGTGAGTTATTAAATATGGTCCACTCAGGTATTACTGGGACTCTCAAAATGTTTAAACTCATAGAAGGACGCCATACTTCATCACTTTCATTGATGATTTTTCTAGGTTTGGATATATCTATCTAATCCACTGTAAATCATAAGCCTTATAAATCTTTGAAATATATAAAAATGAAGTAGAAAACCTATTGGATATGAACATCAAAGTTCTTAGAACGGATAGGGGACGTAAATGCAAATTTGAAGCTTTCGACACTTATTGCTAAGAAAATAATATTAAAAGACATACTACTATGCCTTATACGCCATAACAAAATGACATAATTGAAAGGTGTAATAGAACCCTCTTTGAAATGACTAGATATGCCTCATGCTAGTCTACCCCGGACCTTTTGGGGAGAAGCAATAAACACAATCATGTATATGCTTAATAGGGTTACAACTAAGACAATAGATTCTACCCCATATGAATTATGGAAAAACAGATAGGGGTGGCAACGGATCAGGCACAGGTCGGGTCCGACTGGAGCTGGACCCGAATGGTATTTGGGTCCAGGTTTTAGAATTGAACCAGACTCATACCCGTACCTGTTGCGTCCCGAGTCTATCCCGTCGACTCCCTGGTCTGGTCGGGTCCATTGCCACCCTTACTATAAGCTTCTTTTTTTTTTGCCCTTTTTTTACCATCATATAGCCATATTATTGGCAATAATGTAACAATCACCCTCTATTAGATTTCAAGCCGTCTAATTTGTTGTTTAGTAACTAAAGAAGACTACAAATTCTTATTGTATATGATCATTAATACACCCAAACAAATAGGGCTTGAAGTATTTTATCTCTAATAATTTACAAGTACAGGTCGGTGTAGAAATAAAATAACAATCCACGAAGCAAGAACGAAGAAACAAATACCAAAAGAAAGAGACAACCAACTACAATGCAAAGATATATGTAGTTTAACAATGTGCCTCCATCCACGGGGAGATAAGAGCTTCTTTACTGGCAATGAAAAATAGGGCTACAATTGCTCTCTTCCTCACACCTCTCTATGCTTGCTAACTGCAAATAAATCTCCATTTTTCCTTAACCCTGAAAGAACCCCCATCGCAACAATATATATTAAGTCACAGACAGATGGTACAAATTACCGAAATACCCCATGTATGGATACAAAATTTTTCTCGTCAATCAGATCCATGCCTTCTCCCATATGAAGAGGATACAATTGCTTCTTCAAGAACAACTTGTTCATTAGGGATTTTGTCATGTAAATACTCTCGAGTTTTGTCCAAACCTCTGGAGCAGTTTCGAGATCCACCATATAACGTAAGGCGTCATCTGATAGATTTAGACGAATCGCTCTTACCGCCTTTTCTTCAATCTCTTGCCACTCTTCATCGTCTATCTTTGCTGGTTTCTTCGATTTATTGAAGAAAGCCTTAGCCAGACCTTGTTGTATCAGAAGATCCTTCATCCTTCGTCGCCAAAGAGTGAAGTTGTTCTTTCCATTGAACTTCTCAATGTCAGACTTGACGCTTGAGCCTTTTCCTGTCATCGTGCTAGCAAACCCGAGAAAACGAAATAACCTGGAAGGCTCTGATACCAATTTGTAGAAACAAAATAACAATCCACGAAGCAAGAAAGAAGAAACAAACATCCAAAGAAAGAGACAACCAACCACAACGCAAAGATATACGTGGTTCGGCAACATGCTTACGTCCACGAGGAGATGAAAGCGTCTTTACTGGCAATGGAGAATAGGGTTGCAATTGCTCTCTTCCATCTGAAGAGAATACAACTGCTTCTTCAAGAACTATTTGTTCGTAAGGATTTTGTCATGTAAATACTTTCGAGTTTTGTCCAGACCTCCGGAACAGTTTTGACGTCCACCACATAACGCAAGGCGTCATCTGATAGATTCAAACGAATCGTGCTTACCGCCTTTTCTTCAATCTCTTGCCACTCTTCATCGTCTATCTTTGTTAGTTTCTTTGATTTACCCAGTAAAGCCTTAGCCAGACCTTGCTGTATCAGATGATCCTCCATCCTTTGTCGTCAAAGAAGTTGTTCTTTCCATTAAACTTCTCAATGTCATACGTAACGCTTGAGCCACTTCCTGTCATCGTGGTAGCAAACCCCAGAAAACGGAATAATCTGGTAGGTTTTGATACCAATTTGTAGAAACGAAATAACAATCCACGAAGCAAAAAAGAAGAAACAATTACCAAAAGAAAGAGACAACTAACTACAATGCAAAAATATACGTAGTTTGGCAACATGCCTACGTCCACGGGGAGATGAGAGTTTCTTTACTGGTAATGGAGAATAAGGTTACAATTGTTCTCTTCCTGACACCTCTCTCTACTTGCTAACTGTAAAGAAATCTCCTTTTTTCTTTAACCCTAAAAGAGCCTCTATCGCAACAATAAATATTGAGTCCCAGGTAGATGGTACAAATTATCGAAATACCCCATTACAGATTTATTGAGTCCTTTCGAGCTTTTAACGACCCTCCAAAGTCGTCTCTTTGACTCCACCTTGGCAAATATATTTTTTAAGAATACAATACATCAATACTCAACAGTCGGGTCCAATCGAACCCATACCTAGTGTACGAGTCCAAGTTTTGGACCCGGACACGACCCGACAGGTCCAAATGTTGAACTCATACCCAAACCCATGTCGAGTATACCCGGGTATGGGTCCTGGGTCCATTACCACCCCTATGAGTAGAAGACCTAATCTAAGCAACTTAAAGAACTGGGGGTCAACAGTACATGTTTTAATTCTATATTAGCAAATAAATAAATTAGAAAACAAAACTTTCATTTTTTATTTTATAGGATACCGTGAATGTTCAAAGGGCTATAGATTTTATCATAAGGATAAGACTCATTGAAAGTAGAGATGCTGAGTTTCCAAAATAATTCAATGAAAAAAACCCACCTATAGTAGATAATGATGATCCACTTAAGATCATAGATAACTTAGAATCACCACCTACAGTGGATATGGATAACCCTAATCAACATAATGATATTGAAGTGCCCAAACACCCTATGTTATGTAGTCAAAAGCGATTTAGAGCTCATTTATCATACGATTTCTAGGTCATGAATGAGGAGATAGATAATAATATTGACCTAGATAAAATTGATGATCCCTTTGACTTCTTTGATGCAATAAAGTTACAAGAATCTCAAGAATGGCTTAACGCCATGAGAGAAGAAATTGATTCCATTGAGAAAAATAAAGTTTAGGATCTATGTGATTTACCATCAGATAGAAAACCTATAGGTTGCAAATGGGTACTTAAAAAGAAGTTAAAATCTGATGGATCTATTGATAAATTTAAAGCTAGGTTAGTAGCAAAATGTTTTACCCAAAGAACAAGGGTTGACTATGTTAACACTTATTTCCCTATTGCAAATTTATATTCATTAGAATAATTTTGGTAGTTGTAGCATATTATGACGTAAAACTATACTAAATGAATGTAAAGATGGCATTCTTGAATGACAAACTAAAGGAAACTATCTATATGAAGCAACACAAGGGTTTCATAATTAAAGGCCAAGAAAGCAAAGTATATATATTAAACAAGTTCTTATATGGTTTAAAACAATCTTCAAGGTAATGATATTTAACATTTTATGATGTTATCCTTCAAATGGGATATGAATTAAATAGACTGGATAATTGTGTATATGTCTTAAGAGTGGGTGAAATTTCACAATATTCTTATTATATATAGTTGATATCATATTAGCTAGAAATAACTTTAAAATGATTGATAAAACTATGTTATAGCTTTCTTCTTGGTTTGAGATGAAAGATATGGGAGAAGCATCTTATTGCCTAAACATAAAAATAACTAGAGATAAAAAATCTAGAATGTTAAACTTAACGCAATGCAGATATCTTGAATCTGTTATTACGAGATCTAAAATGGAAAATTTTAGACCACTGTTTACTCCTGTTGAAAAGGAAATAAAGTTATATGAGAAGAATTTTCCAATAGAAGAACAAGAAAAGCCTAATGATCCATATACACAAGTTATTAATAGCTTAGTATATGCAGTATGATGTACAATACTATATTTGAGCTATGTTGTAATTCTTGTACGTAGATATCAAAATAATCACGGTATAGCCCATTAGAAAGCAGTCAAATGAATTCTAAAGTATATTAAGGGAACAAAACATCTTAAATTATGTTTTGAAGTGAATAAGCTTGAAGTTCTAGGATATTCAAATGTAGATTTTGCAGGGGATAAGAACAATAGTAAATCCACCTCAATGCATGTTTTCCTCTTTGGAAGTGCAGCACTTTCTTGGTTTAGCAAGAGACAATAGTGTATTGCAAGGTACGCACAAGAAGCAGAGTACATTGTTGTAGCATTGCATGTACTTGTACTATCTGGATTAAGCATTTCATTGATGACTTGAAGCTGCAAATAATCAATGGACCGATTCAAATGTTTTGTGATAATCAAGTTGCAATTAAATTAATGCAAAGTGCAGCAAATAGCTCCAAAGGTAAACAAATAGAGGCACAATATCAATACATTCGGGATGTAGCTGAAAAAAATGAAACAACTATTAGTTACTTGCCCTCATTTGATATGATTGCTGACCCATTGATAAAAGGGATCTAAGTGTGAAACTATTTTCTAAGCACATTAGATTAATGAGACTTAAAAATATTTAAGTCAGTTGGTTTCCATGAGTGATAAATCCACATTAGCATGGAAATCCTCATGATGGACATTATAGACATTTGTTATGAGAGGCTCATCCGTAAAAGCATGAAAAGAACCTCTTGACAAAGTATTATCCTAAAAGTCATACCCAAAAGTGAGAATGTACGTATGACTTATTTTTTCGCTCGGCCGTCATCACCAAGTAAGAGATGGCAGCTATGGGGCCTCGAGTTGCCTTACCATTTTTTATTATGGAAAGAATCGTATTTATTTAACCAAAAAGTTTATATAAGGTTGACATCTTAAATTGTAGAAATAAGGTGCACATCAGAAATCCACTAGAAAAGTTTATTTGACTTTGGAAAACTATATAATTGATTATCTCAACATCGAGATGTAGGGATATGAAAAATAAAAAATTAAGTTCCAAAAATAGCAGATCTTGCAACACATTATCTGGACTGCCCATTTTCAAGATTTTCATGCGTTTATAGATCTACTTGATTTGAAACCATATTTGGAGTTCAAAAATTTTATAATTAAAGATAAAAATAGATACTCGGGCCGTCTTAAGAATTTTCAACAACAAAATTACATATTATAACAAAGTTTGGAGGTGTGCTTTACATTGATTGTTTGCGGTTGCAACCATATACAAACCATACCTTTATTTTAACATTTTAAAAAATATATTTTTAATTGTAATAAATAAATACATAATTATTTTATCAAGGTTTTTTTTATCATTCATGTCAGATGAAGATAAACATCTGTGAGATTTGGGAGTTTGTTTCTCAAAGACCCATTAAAAAATGGAACATTGGGCCCATCTTCTTTCCTGTTAATATGGGAAGTTAGAAAGAGGAAAACATCAAAAATTTACAGAGCTCTTGTGTTTATAGCAAGCTTATCTTCTTCCTCCAAAGGGTTAGCGAAATAAAATTCGAACTCCACGATCACCAGCCTCATCACACACCCCTCTCAAATCTCAAGTTGGTGCTCATTTTCGCTCTATTTTTTCACTCCCTGCTTTTGACTATACTCCCCTTCGTCTATCCATCTCACATATGTCGTCTATTCTTTCCCCTATGGGAGCAATTTTCGTTATCAGTTTTTTTCCTTCTCTCTATTGTACTTATTCATTATCTCAATCAGTGTAAGAAAGATCGAACCAGCCCAGTCAACTACCCACGGGCCGGTTTTGATTAGATCAGAATCAAGCCAATTAACTGGCTCGATTAAGTCCAGTAATTTTTTTTTTATGAGTAAAAAAACACAAAAAACAAAATTCAAAAAAATATGAAGAATTATAGATTTCATGTATATTTTCTTATTACCTATAATTATCTTAAAATATATAATTAAAAATATTATTTATATAAATTAATAGATGATTACTAAGATTGATGTAATTGATCTATGATCCTATGAGGAATTATTTAAATTTCAAAAGGCACAAATTTTGATCGAAAAAGAACAAAAAAAACGACGGAGATTTCGATCCTTAAGCGGATATTTTTGAACTCAAAACTAAAACTCTGAGCCTCAGCCCTAAATATTCATAATCGAGCACGAAAATTGCTTAGTTCTATCAAATTAGCATTCTGATCCTATGAGGAACTCTTTAATCTTCAAAAGACATAAATTTTGACTGAAAAAGAATAAAAAACGACTGAGAAATCAATCGTTGGGCAGATTTTGATTAACTTGAAACTGATACTTTGAGTCTCAACCCTAAACAATCACAATCGAACACAAAAATTGGTCCGTTCGACCAAATTATCATAGTGAACTTGTGAAGAACTCTCTAATCTTCAAAAGGCACAAATTTTGACTGAAAAAAAAAAAAAACGAGCCCTAATCGAACATTGAGCGGAGTTTTTTCAAGCCGTCGAAAAACCTCGAAAACCAAGCCAACGGAGTTGATTTTTGGTTTGTTTGATCTTCGATATATAGCTTAGATTTCTGTCAATAATTGACTGTAAAATGCTGAAAAAGGACAAAAAAAAAAAAACTCCGGTTCAACCCGCGATTTTTTCTTCCCTTTTTTTTTTCATCAAAAGACGACCCTTTTGTAACACAATGCATTTTTTTGGTCATCAAACACCCGTGTTTTTGGTGAACCGCTCGGTTAGTACAAATAACGCCCAGTTCATGGAAATATGGACCTGTTTGATCTACAACCCGGCCGGTTGGTGGGGGGGGGGGGGGTTGTAGGAGCGCGAGTGAGAGCAGCTCAGGTTCCGAGAGCGGCAACGTCGGATCGATGGCTGCCCGACGGGGAGCAAGGTCCTGTGATGGTAGAAGTTACAGATCGAGATCCCGATACATTGGGATCGAGATCCCTATTTAATGAGAACGCGTTCTATGTATTTACGAAACGAGATCCCGTTTGATTAGGGAGTGAGATCCCATTTGAATTGGGAATGAGATCTTGATACATTGGGATCGATATCCTTATTTGACAGGAACGTGTTACATGTAACATGGGATCCCGCTCCCATGTCTATTAGGATCGTACTCCTGTTAACAACAAGAACGAGATCCCATTTAATGTTGAGTCTCGCGCCCATCTAAACAATACCACAATCCTATTTGGCTAGGATCTAGATCTTAGAAGGGTTTGAAAATACCATTCCCTAATACCCTGATTTTCTGGAGCAAGGTAATCTTATTTGATATAATTAATATCTATTTTTTTCTTTTTTCTTTCTAATTTAACAGCTAAATATTTTTCTATATGCCTCATTATTATTTATATCTTTTTCTACTTATAACATATTATCTTCTACTTGTAATGTAAGTATTTGAAATTCAGCTATGTCAGGTTCAGATGTATACATGGAAATGACTACATGATCAGCTGTTTTTTTGACTCCTTGTAATTGGAAGTCTGAAAATGTTGAAGGTGTTGAAGGAGAAAGAAGTATGATAACATCGGGAGTAGTATAATAAGATTTTATAGCAGGGATTAATAGTTTTTTATGTCTTTTTCTATTAATATCGATATCATCCTGTACTATAGGCTGTTGGAATTTTATTTCAATATTTTCATCTTGATGTTCTATTATTTGATTTGGAATATTATTCACAGGCACTTCCCTGGGCTGGTTTGCATTTTGCAATGCCCATAATTGAAGTAGAATAATATCAGACCAAGTAATGGTTTTTGGTATTAGAGCGAAACAATAAAAATAGTAAACTGTTAAGAGTTAAAAGTTACAATATTACTATAGAAACCTATTTAAATTTACATCTAAAAAAGTTGGTCCAAGAGTTAAAGCAAGAGACGAAAGGAAAATCTAAATAAAATACCCGCCAAGGCCAAGAAGAGCCGCTTAGGGGAACACGCTGGACCCTTGATCGTCCATATTGTCATTATCCGCAACCCACAGATGACAAATTTAATTAGGAATCTTAAAGGTAATACTGCAACTAAAACCTTAAGAGTTCAAAATAAAGAAGAGATCATCATAAATGATATTGAACATCATATCCAAAATTGGAATATTCCTAAAGTACCAATAAAAGATATTCATCAAAAATGATCATTCGAATTCAAATTAAGTTATGCTATAAAAACAGTAGAAGTAAGTCTATCAGTAACTCAAAACCAGGAAGACTTTCAATTATTATCAAGAAAAATTATTGAAAAACATAAAAATAATAATTATAAATATTTACACATTAGATTAATCCAAATAGCCATTAAACCTTTAACCCGTCTAAGGTTAAACACTTCAGTGATTGTATGCCTAAAAGATACAAGACACATTAAGTTCTCAAATTCACTCCTAAGCATGATAAAATCCAGCCTATGTAGTGGACCCATATATTTTAATTGCTTTCCAAATTTTTCTGTTTCTTTAACAGACCCAAATATATTAGATATATTAACTATAAATTTGAAAACTCATGGTTTTAATATGATACATGGTTCTCAAAATTTAGCAATAGCATACAGAATTTATTATAAAGTAACGAATACTCTCTGTCCTAATATTATGCAAGCTGATATAAAAGATCAAACTATACTATTTCAAACTAATATAGAATATATATATATATAGTCGTGGGAGCGAAGGAC